TTGCTCTGGCTCAACTGTTTTTTAAATACCAGTAATTCTTAGATTTGGTCTTAAGAGGTGATTTTCTGTATTTTGCAGGTGGTCTTCGTTTCTTTTCAGTCTTTTTTCTTCTTTCTCTGACTCTGTATTTTCTAATAACCTGTCTTCAGGCTTACTAATTCGATTTTCTACCTGATCCATTCTGCCATGGAAAGCCTTTAATAAATTTCAGTTCAGCAAACATATTTCTCAGTTCCAACATTTGTTTAGTTTTTCATTATTACTTAAATCTCTTTGTTAAGTTTCTCTGATAAATTTTTGAATTTTTTGTTTTATCTGGGAGATCGATGAGTTTCCTTAGAACTGCTATTTTCATTTCTTAGTCAGAGATCTCACATATTATTATCTCATTAGGGTCAGTCATTTGTTCTTTGCTTTGTCCATTTAGGGAAGTCAGACACCCTGTTTGCTCTTGTTTCTTGCAGATGTGCACTTATGCCTTTACTTTGAAGAATTTGTTATTTATTCTGGTCTTCTCTCTCTGGCTTGTTTTGGTTTTATTGAATATATTTGCCTAAAGGCCACTATTTGGTTGCTATCTCCTTTTTGCTTCCCAGTGGCACTTTAAACCCAGTTTTGCCTTAGTCTAGTAAATACTGGAGCACTACCCATCTCTAATGGGGGAGCTCCCAAAGAGGGAAGTGTAGGAAGGCTTGCAAAGGGTTCCTGCCCAGGGGATCTGTGGAACCTGTCTCCTACAACGTGGAGCTGCTGAATAGGCACTCTGATTTGGTGTTTTCTTCGGTTCAGTAACAGTTTCCTGGGTTGAGGCTGGTAGTCTTGCTTCTCCCCTTTTCCCTTTTGTCTCTGCCTGTCCTCAGGGATATTTCTCCCTTCAGTCCTCATGATGATTCCAGTGGGTTGAGTCAGGGATGAGTCTCCTGGCAGGGAACTTAGAATGGTGGGGAAGCTGATTGTCCACCTCAATCTCTCTTTTTCCAGTGTAGAAACTGTGGGTTGAAGGGAAATTTTTCTCATGTTTGGTGCTGGGAAGACTGTGGGGAGAGGCATCACAAATATGGAAGTCTGATTCTCTTACCATCTGCTCAGAGTTTTTTCACTTCTCTGTGGTCCTGCGAAGTGACCGATCCTCATATTTGAGTTCTGGGATGTTGCTGGTGTAAATCTCTGCCAAGACCAGCTTGGGTGTAGAGACCCCAACCCAGGTGACACTGAAAGAATTAAGAAACAGCCACAAATAGAGTACATAGTGGGACTATTGGGGCTAACAGCCCTCGGAGCTTAGAGCCTCAGGGGGCTAACAGTATTCTGGACTGAGAGCCTCTTGCAGGCTCTGACCTGTGTATTTATTCTCTCTAAACAGGTGACTATTATTAACAAACAGGTGTTCTGTGTTTCCTCATAGAACAAAAATAAACTAGGCAGTTAGCTGGTGCCTGCTTACCACTGATGAAAGACAAACCAGAAAGCATTCTCCACTAGGGAGCCACAGGGGCAGGGTCACATATCCTGTGCTTAAAAAACTAGTTTAACTGGTTGGTATATGATATACACATACTGTTCACTACTTTGGAACACCCTGAGCAGTTTTCCACTTGGGGATCCAGCTCGGTTTTCTTTGCCATGGCTCTCAGCAAGAAATACAGTCCATCCTACACTCAGCAAATCTCAGTGTTACATATTTCTTCTTGGTTTTTTGTGGCGTTAAGTGAAGCCAGCTTGCTTCTACACCACCCTGTTGGAACTGAAAGTCTCTCTTGCATATTAAGATCTACTTGTTTACGGTTTGGGGGACTGTCAAAGAAATGAGGATACCAATTAATCATATATTCTAATAACAAAGTTATATGTTATTACAGCTTTATTTTAGCCCCAACAAATTCAGTCACTGAGGTAAAACCATAGTAATTCTCTTCTCCCAGAGAATCTAGAAAAAATAATTATTAATTTATAGGTCATTTAAATTTTCTCTTGTGGTGTGATTAAACTATTACTTTAAAATATGTATGTGTGTATTTACATTGAAAATACTACCACTGTCATCATAAAGATATGGCTATAAGAATGTTTATCAAAGCATGGCTTATAAGAGTAAAAACTGTAAAAAATTTCAATATCTATTAATAGAAAATACCTTAAATAATAGTATGACCATGTACTAGAACATTATGCAACCATTAAAAATGATATTGTAAAATAACATTTACTGGTTTGGAAAGACAATCACAATTAAGTGGGAAGACGAACTTACAAAATTGATGTACAGTATAATTATATTTTTGTTTTAAATAAGGCTATGAATGTACAAATAAGTTTAGAAGATTATACAGCAATATGTTAACAGTAGTTTTTGATGATATGATAACCTTTTTTCAATGAGAATGAACGTTTTGGAATACATTTTTTAAAGTTATTAAAAATAGCAACATATTCAAAATCACATTGGTGATGAATATTCAGGAAATGATTCCTGTTTTAATTAAAACAATTACATACCTATTGTTTTATCTAATGCAGCTAATCAAATGCATTTCTAGATTGCCATGATTAACTTGTTTTGGAATTTGTTGATGGCTCAACTGTCATTAATATAAGTATCACCTTCTGTTATTTGTGATACCTAGTTTGTGAAGAAAACTCATAAAAAATTTTAGTAACTGTCAGCCATATAACTGGAGAAAATGAATTGGACATTTCTAACTATTTAAATAAAAATTATTTAAATCAAATTTATTTTAGTATGTTTTAAATGAAAACTTTTTGTAAAAATCTAAACAATGTTTGAAAAACTGATGAGTTAAAACTTGGAAGGCCAAGGCAGGTGGAACACTTGAAGTCAGGAGTTCCAGATCAACCTAGCTAGCATGACAAGACCCCATGTCTACAAAAAAAAAAAAAAAAAAATACAAAAATAACAGGGCATGGTGGCATGTACCTGTAGTCCCCGTACTTGTGAGTCTGAGGCAGGAGAATTGCTTGAACCCAGGAGGTAGAGATTGCAGTGAGCTGAAATCCTGCTACTGCACTCCAGCCTGGGCAACACAGCAAGACTCCCTGTCAAAAAACAAAAACCTTAATACCATAAATCTAGAGAGGGACCAACTTGCATGTTCTAACTGCCTATTTAATAATAGCTAATATTTATGGAACAGTTATTTGCCTGATACCATATTGGGGCTTTACATGCGTTATTTTGCTTAATTTAACAAGTCTTTTAGGTAGTTAGATGTTTTTAACATCCGCCTTCCCCATTTTGAGAGAAAAGGCTTAATGTACCCATGAAAGTGAATAAATGGTAGAGACAGGATTTGAACCCAGGAAGACTGACTTGAGAGGCAATGCTGTTAATCACTAAGATGCTGTACTTGACTTTGAACTGGTGGTTGCTTTTGTGACTAGTATTTATTTCCTTGAGCAATGACCTCTTAAGGTTCTAAAACAATGTAGAGGAATAAAAAACTTAGGCCATTCTGTTGATTATGTGTTGTTCATGCAGTGGAGGAGGTTTTCAGTCCAAAACTAATTCCCAAAGAGAAACTTCCATAAAAATTGTTCAAGTCCTAGTGAGTATCCGTTTGAGTCTTTTTTTAATTGTTTCTTCTAAATGATAACCCCATTCCTTAGAATGTCAGAGAGGAAAGTTTATCTACGTCTATAGTTTCTCTGTAACGCCATCCCAACACTTTTGAATCTTTTAAGCTATCTGAGATTTACATATCCTAGACGCTGGATTCTTATCAAAGGACCAGAAATGGACAGAAATAAGAGGTTTTATAAAGCTATTAGATGAAGCATCCAAAAGAACAAAAAGCAAATTGTTATTCATATGCCGGGCATTTGAAGGGTATTCATGCTTGAAGAAGTTTCGTGTCCATTTGAATATTAAGCTTTCTCTACAACTTCACCTCATTAATACTACTTAGCATTTTCCCTCTTGGAAATATCATGAATATTGGTAGAATTTCAAGTAAAGCCCCTAAAAGACTTGTTTGGTATACTATAGTTATAATAATGTATGCCTGCAAATAACAATAAAACAAAATTATGAATGTAGAGTGTTAGTATCAGGGACTTATAAGGCAAGAATTATATTCAGCTGTCAGTACCAAAGACCCAATAATGGTGGCTAAAACAAGATAAAAGTTTATTTTTCTCTCATATAAAAAAAAAATTCAGAGTTTGACAATGTCATTGTCATCAAGGACCCAAGCTACTTCTTTCTGCCTAGCTTTCCTTAGTGCATGGCTTCGATTCTAAGGGTCACTCATGGTACAAAATGGCTATTGGAAGTCTAATTCCTAGATGGAAGGAGGAAGTAGAAGGAAGGCAGGAAGGGCAAAATGGGCTGATATCAATTGTCTATTATTTTGTTTTGTTTAAGCTATTTTCCTGGAATTTCTCCCTACAGCTTCCCTGTACATTCTATTGGCTGAGAGTTAAATCCGTAGCAACAACTACCTATAAGAACTAGAACATTGCTATCCAGAATAAAATCAGGCTTCTTTACTTAGAAAGAAGTGGGTAACTGTTTTTGGAAAGCAGCCAGCAGCCTCTGTCATAAGACTGTAGGATACATCTCACCTAGACTTTTAAGTTCAAGCTGTTAAGACCCAGACTTCCCCAGCTGTCTATATAGCTGGATAGTGGCAGTTAGAATCAGAACCCAGATGGCTTGCCGACCTTTATTAACCAGAGAGCACACAATTGTTTCTGCAAATGATAAATGGGATAAAGTGATGGTAAATCAATCTAGCATTAATGAAGAGGTTTTTTCCTTGCCTCTTTACCTCAACATCCCCTTCCCCTGGATGGTTCAGACTATTACTGCTTACTTAGTTGATGATCCTTTCCAACTGTGATCATTTTCCTTCCCCTCAAGATACAAGTTATGCCAGCAATCCTGATTCTGTGATTAAAAATAAAGGCAGCACTTAACATTTGTTTTTAACCATAATGGTTTCATGACTTTGGGTAAGCTTTTTTTAAATTTTCTCTTACAGTATAGCTGAAATACAGAAAGATGTGGAATACAGATTGCCATTTACCATAAACAACTTGACAATTAACATTAATATGTGAGTAGAATTCTATCCTACTTACTCATTTAAAAGGACTTACAGTTTTTTTATTGTTTTGTTTCTTAGTTATTAGAAGTAAGCTTTTAAAAGTGAACTTATTTCAAATAATTTATAAAATAGTGCACAATTCAATGAGATAAAAATTTTTGAAAACTGTCACTAAGTTATAGTGCTATAAGAAACTAGAGAAGAGGAATGCAATAAAAATGTGCAATACTGATTCTTAGTACTATAATTGTTTTTATTGATTAGCACTAAAATCTTCGCTGGAGGTAGACTGAACAGTGATAAAAAACAAAGGGGATATATATATATATATATATATATATATATATATATATATAATGGTCATTAGAGATAGAGTCACCTTTAAATCAGAAACAAGTTAAAATATTCCAAATTTCAGCAACAGATAATACTACATCAACTGGAAAGTTCAAGTCTAGATATGATTTGCTGATCATTTTTATGAAAAAAGTTAAGAATATAATCATCAGGTTTTTACTTAAGTTACAAAAATTTGGACAGTGATTGCTGAAGTAGCTATTTAGCCTTAAATGCAGCAATGAGGATGTAGTGTGAAGAGATTGTGATTACCTCAAGTTGCATTAAGTGGCTTTTGCTAGAACAAGTGTTTGGGCCAGAGAAGAAGGCACCTAACTTGAAAGTATTCACTTTCACATTCTCATTGCCTAGCATAGTGCCCGTACCTAGGAGGCCTTATTAAATACTAATTGAATGAGTGAATTAAAGCATGAATATATAACTGCTATGTTAACTTGTTATATATGAGCTTTTTGTATCCTCACAGCAGCCCTTCAAGTTAGGGCAACTACAGAAACGTGATTAAGAGCATAGTCAAGATAACCAACCTAGATTGTCTGGGCTCCAAAGGCCATTTAGTGCCTTTTTTGCCAAAGTAGTTTTAAAATCTTCAACTATGTAAATGAAGTAGTTTTATCTCTTATCAAATGCCCAGGTAGAGCTGAGCAGAGGAGGCCAAAAAGGACCCAGTTTTCTTTTCAACAGTGCTACTAACAAATAGTTTTCTGAGCCAACAGGGGAACAAAGAGGCAATTCAAAGTAAAATATTCTTGAGTTTTAGAGATTTGGAAAACATGGTTTTATATCCAGTAAACTCTCATTTTTAAGTTTTAAAGATTTCACTCACTAATCTTGGTTTTGTAGTATTTCAAAAAGGTTTAAATTTGCACTTTTTTTTGGTGTTGAAAACTTACTGTTCTTTACTTGAAACCATGTGATTGACCTCTAAGTTGGGAGAGATGTATCATTTATGGCATTTAGAAGGGAGCCATGTAGAACCAAGTCTTGATGACAGCTACATTTCAATCCTACTACTTTCCATTTTATCCTCTTACTCTTTAGAAGTACAATAAATAGTGAAATAATGCTTCACAGCATTTTATTTGTTTTTATCTTACTTTATTTTTTTAAAGATGGGGGTCTCACTATGTTGTCCAGGCTGGTCTTGAACTCCTGGGCTCAAGTGGCTCTCCTGCCTCAGCCTCCCAAGTAGCTGGGACTACAGGTATGTGCCACTACGCCCAGCCTTGACAACATTTTCAAAGTAGAAAAACCACAGGAAATTTATATGACTAGAACCTGTGGTCCAGTAAATAACCAGACTGGACTAGTATGGTTCACCTGTTACAAATGGCTGATCTAATTTTTACCTAAGATTTTGTATAGCTTGGTGTATTGTGTTTGAAAGCAACTAATGGGCATGATGTGAAGAGTATTCTATAATTCATGTCCATATTTCACATAAGAGTTTACTGTGTTGAATAACTAGTCTTATTACCAAATTTTCTTTTTATATATATTTTCAGACAACACCGTAATAGAGCACTTATTGCTAAATAATGCATATCAAAGTGTGAAAATTTAATTTACTTTTAAATAACTTTATTTTAAGAGTTTGACTGTATAATGTACCTTTGTTATCTTCGTTTTTGTCTTTCATCTGTTCTACCTGTATCAGATTGCTTCCTCCACAATTTCCTCAGGAAAAACCAGTGATCAGTGTTTATCCACCAATACGACATCACTTAATGGATAAACAAGGAGTGTATGTTACCTCTCCATTAGTAAACAATGTATGTATATGGGATAATTTATTTAGGGGTAATACAATAGGTGTATTACTTTTCTACTAAATATTTTAGAAATCTGAAGTGCATTTAAAGTTTCATTTTGTCGTGGGGAATTTTTTAAAAATTGAATATTTAAGACTATGCCTTAACATTCTTAGAATATGATATGGCTGATTGTGAAAGATTGTAACTTACATATACTCTACTATTTACCTTTGAACCCTCAAATTACTGTAAATCATCAAATATGGAAATATTTCACACCATTATTGATTAAATGGACTTTTAACCTGTTTACTAACTACCAGATATTTATAATATCGATTGTATAAAAAAGGTTACAGCTTGTGAATTCCTAATATCCTTTTTTATTTAATTCTTGACCTGTAAAAGTAAGTTAATATTTAGAATGACATTATCCTAATGTGACTGTTTAATCTTTTTCTGAAAGTGATTTTAATCATCATGTATTATTGTTACTTTCAGTTTACAATGCACTCAGATCTTGGGAAAATTATTCAGAGTTTGTTGGATGAGTTTTGGAAGAATCCTCCAGTTTTAGCCCCTACTTCAACAGCATTTCCTTAGTAAGTATATTTCTAATAAAAAAGTCTGCATGTATTTTAATTAATTAATTTGTTATTTATTTCTTTTTTTGAGACGAAGTTTTATTTTTGTTGCCCAGGCTGGAGTACAATAGTGTGACCCTGGCTCACCTCAACCTCTGCCTTTCAGGTTCAAGCAATTCTCTTGCCTCAGACACCCAGAGTAGCTGGGATAATAGGCATGCACCACCATGCCTGGCTAATTTTGTGTTTTTAATAGAGACAGGGTTTCTTCATGTTGGTCAGGCTGGTCTTGAACTCCTGACCCTCAGGTGATCCGCCCGCCTCAGCCTCCCAAAGTGCTGGGATTACAGGCATGAGCCACCACAGCCAGCAGTATTTTAATTGATTAAAGAAAGCAAAACATATTAAAAAATTCAAATGATGTTAAAAATTAGTCCTCTGATTTCTACTTCTCCACCTTCACACAAATACATCCACACTTTCAGAAGCACCTGTTTTACTCTTTTAGCTGTCTCTTTTTTTTTTTTTTTTGAGACGGAGTTTCACTCTTGTTGCCCAGGTTGGAGTGCAGTGGCGCAATCTCAGCTCACTGCAACCTCCCCCTTTAGAGTTCAAGTGATTTTTTTGCCTCAACGTCCTGGGTAGCTGGGATTACAGGCATGTGCCACCACTCCTGGCTAATTTTTTATTTTTTTTAGGAGAGACTGGGTTTCACCATGTTGGCCAGGCTGGCCTCAAACTCCTGACCTCAGGTAATCTTCCTGCCTTGGCCTCCCAGAGTGCTGGGATTACAGGCGTGGAGCCACTGCGCCCAGACTTGCTGTTTCTTCTAATGTTTACCTACATATTTTTGAATAATGTGTGCATACTTCTATGTCTTGATTCTTTCATTTTAGATGTTATCTGTTGTCCTCCTATTATAATAGATGAGAATTTCAGCTGTCTTTCACCAAACTTCCTTTCTCCTCATTCTCCCAGTGAAATTATATCATGATTTTTAATGTTTTAATATTTGGTGTATTTATTACTGTGACTATAAATATTGTCCATTCCTGAGCCAAGTTTGTTACCGTGTTCACATTTTCCTTATGGTGTAATTTTTTCCTTTTTTTCTGGAATTAATAACTACCTACATTTTGCGTTTGGTTTGGTTTTGTTTTGGATCATCTTCATTTTCCATGTCTTCTTAAATTTAAGATACTACTAAATTTCCACAGAGCTTTTAACAACTCTGAAAAATATCCCTTAAAGCATTTTTTTCACGTTATCAAACCAGCAGGATAATATCTAGGTTTTATTTTTTCCCTCACTTTCAGTGTTCCACTTCTTCCCTCCATTCTGAATTTCTCTCTATGACATTTGTGTAATTCTAAGCCAGGAATTCTTTTTGTTGTCATTCTGGGATTTCCCTTTGCCACTTTCTAGTATTGGATTCTCCATTTCTTAGATTTTGTTTTTCCCATTCTCAGGCTATTTCCTAGTTTCTTGGTTTATTGCCTTCCCGTAGCTTCCTGAATAAAGTCACGTCCTTGTACGAAGGATTCTGTTTTAGTCTTGTTCTTGCATTACTATAAAGAAATACCTGAAACTGGGTAATATATAAAGAAAAGAGGTTTAATTGGCTTAGGGTTCTGCCGACTATACAGAAAGCATGGCATTGGCATCTGCTCGGCATCTGGGGAGCCTCAGGAAGCTTTTACTCCTAATAGAAGGTAAAGTGGGTACAGGCACATCACATGATGAGAACAGGAGCAAGGAGGGAGGAGGTACCACACACTTTTAAATAGTCACATCTCACGAGAACTCACTCACTATCACAAGGACAGCACCAAGAGGATGGCATTAAAGCATTCATGAGAAAGCCACCCCCATCATCTAATCACCTCCCAGCAGGCTCCACCTCCAACATGGGGATTATAATTCGGCATGAAATTTAGAGGGGACAGCAACGTCCAAACTATATCAGATCCATAACAGATTACCCTAAAACTTGTGGTTAAAATAAAAACATTTATGTTTTTTAAGAATCTACAATTTGGTTAGGGACCAGTGGCAATATCTCATTTTTGTTCCACTTTTTGCATTAGCTGGTGTTGCATGGCAGTTAATGTTGGCTTAAAGCTTACACTTTAGTGCTGATACATTTGTATGTGGCCTCTCCATGTGACCTAGGCTTCCTCACTGCATGGCAGGGGTAAGTTCTGAGGGTCAGGATTCCGAGAGAGAGCCCTCCAGCCAAGTGGAATCTCTATCATCTTTTTTGGTTTAGCCCTGTATGTTATTCAGCATCATTTCTGCTGCATTTTGTAAAGTTAGTCACCTAGTCCACCTAGATTGAAAGCGGAGAGAAAGTAGACTCCAACTCTCGATGGGGTGGCTAAGTTCAAGAAGTGCATATTGGTCTGGAAATATGCCTATGACCATTTTGGAAAACATAATCTGTCACATTCTTCCTCCTAACCATAAGAATTCACCTCTTTCCTATATGTGAATCGTCACTCGCCCCTTTCCCCAAGAACTTGCAGAGTTCATCATATTACAGATTCAGGTTTGTGTTCTTTCATTTAAATCAGGTTCAGGTACAGATGAGGCTTCTCAGTTGTGTTCCTGGAAAACAATTCTGATCCGAACACAAGGGAATTAAAGAGATAAGGTAGCTGCGCCTCTCACACCCATTATATAGTGGTAGAACAAGCCTTGGGTTACCACTATAGATTCCGAAAGAGAGAAAATAGGAAGCACACAGGAGCCACTGGTTCATAGCAGTATGGAAATCCAACTGGGCACATTTTTTTGATGAAGACTTAGTTTATGGAAACTATTCTTCACAGAGTAATTCTTGGTTCTTGGTTCTACCTTCTGCATCATTCTTAATTTCTGTAAAATATAGTCCTTGTTTCCAAGTGCATAGTTTTTTCAGCCTGCTTTCTGCCTGTAGAAATTAAGGTTCCAATAGCATCTTTTACATTTGGTACTGTCTCTGTCCCTTTTAGACCCAAGATGACAAAACTCCTTTAAAATGCTTATGATTTTCTTATGAATCAGTTTTTTCTTTATATATATATATATATATATATATATATATATATATATATATAATGTGTGTGTGTGTGTGTGTGTGTGTATGTGTGTGTGTGTGTGTGTGTGTATTTTATTGTGTTTTAGGTTTTGGGGTACCTGTGAAGAACATGCAAGATTGTTGCATAGGTACATACATGGCAATGTGGTTTGCTGCCTTCTTCCCCATCACCTATATCTGGCATCTCTCCCCATGCTCTCTCTCCCCAACTCCCCACCCCCCACTGTCCCTCCCCTAGCTTCCCCTGACAGACCTCAGTGTGTGATGCTCCCCTCCCTGTGTCCATGTGTTCTCATTGTTCAACACCCGCCTATGAGTGAGAACATGTGGTGTTTGATTTTCTGTTCTTGTGTCAGTTTGCTGAGAATGATGGTTTCCAGGTTCATCCATGTCCCTACAAAGGACACAAACTCATCGTTTTTTATGGCTGCATGTGTTCCATGGTGTATGTGTGCCACATTTTCCCTGTCCAGTCTATCATTGATGGGCATTTGGGTTGGTTCCAAGTCTTTGCTATCATAAACAGCGCTGCAATGAACATTCGTGTGTATGTGTCCTTGTACTATAACAATTTATAATCCTTTGGATATATACCCAGTAATGGAATTACTGGGTCAAATGGAATTTCTATTTCTAGGTCCTTGAGGAATAGCCACACTGTCTTCCACAATGGTTGAACTAATTTACACTCCCACCAGCAGTGTAAACATGTGCCTATTTCTCCACATCCTCTCCAGCAGCATCTGTTGCCTCCAGATTTTTTAATGATCGCCATTCTAACTGGCTTGAGATGGTATCTCATTATAGTTTTGTATTTCTCTAATGACCAGTGATGATGAGCATTTTTTCATATGTTTGTTGGCCTCATATATGTCATCTTTTTTAAAGTGTCTGTTCATATTCTTTGCCCACTTTTGAATGGGCTGGTTTTTTTTCTTGTCAATCTGTTTTAGTTCTTTGTAGATTCTGGATATTAGCCCTTTATTAGATGAGTGATTGCAAAAATTTTTTCCCATTCTGTTGGTTGCTGATTCACTCTAATGATTGTTTCTTTTGCTCTGCAGAACCTCTGGAGTTTAATTAGGTCCCATTTGTCTGTTTTTGCTTTTGTTGCCAATGCTTTTGGTGTTTTAGTCATGAAGTCCTTGCCCATGCCTATGTCCTGAATGGTTTTGCCTAGAATTTCTTCTAGGGTTTTTATGGTGTTAGGTCTTATGTTTAAGTATTTAATCCATCTGGAGTTAACTTTAGTGTAAGGTGTCAGGAAGGGGTCCAGTTTCTGCTTTCTGCACATGGCTAGCCAGTTTTCCCAACACCATTTATTAAACAGGAAATCCTTTCCCCATTGCTTGTTTTTGTGAGGTTTGTCAAAGATCAGATGGTTGTAGATGTGTGACATTGCCTTCGAGGCCTCTGTTCTGTTCCATTGGTCTATGTCTCTGTTTTGGTACCAGTACCATGCTGTTTTGATTACTGTAGCCTTGTAGTATAGTTTGAAGTCAGGTAGTGTGATACCTCCAGCTTAGTTCTTTTTGCTTAGAATTGACTTGGCTGTGCGGGCTCTCTTTTGGCTCCATATGAAGTTTAAGATGGTTTTTTCCAGTTCTGTGAAGAAGGTCATTGGTAACTTGATGGAGATAGCATTGAATCTGTAAATTACTTTGGGCAGTATGACCATTTTCACGATATTGATTCTTCCTAACCATAAGCATGGAATGTTTCTCCATCTGTTTGCGTCCTCTTTTATTTCGTTGAGCAGTGTCTTGTAGTTCTCCTTGAAGAGGTCCTTTACATTCCTTGTTAGTTGTATTCCTAGGTATTTTATTCTCTTTGTAGTAATTGTGAATGGCAGTTCGTTCTTGATTTGGCTCTCTTTAAGTCTGTTATTGGTGTATAGGAATGCTTGTGATATTTGCACATTGATTTTGAATCCTGAGAC